CTCCACCGCCCAGATTCAAGCAGTTCCCCTGCCTCAGCCTCCCGAGTAGCTGGAATTACAGGTGAGCGCCACCATGCCTGACTAATTTTTGTATTTTTAGTAGAGACAGGGTTTCTCTGTGTTGGCCAGGCTGGTCTTGAATTCCTGACCTCAGGTGATCCACCCACCTCGATCTCTCCAAGTGTGGGATTACAGGTGTGAGCCGCAGCATACCTGTAATTTCTTTTGAGCTATAGATGACTAGTAAAAGTCTGAGATCATTTGTACAGCTTGGGAATTTTTCTTTTATTTTTTGTTGAGATGGGGTCTCCCTTTGTCACCCGGGCCAGAGTGCAGTGGCATGATCATGGCTCACTGCAACCTTGACCTCCTGGGCTCAAGCGATCCTCTCACCTCAGTCTCCAGTGTAGCTGGGATTATAGGTACAAGCCACCACACCGGCTAATTTTTTTTGTTTTTGTAGAGATGAGGTTTCACTTTGTTGCCCAGGCTGATCTCAAACTCCTGGCTTCAAGTGATCCTTCCACCTTGACCTCCTAAAGTGCTGGGATCACAGTGAGCCACTGTGCCTGGCCTGGTTCTAAATTTTGATAAATATATACATCTGTGTAAACAGTACCCCCTTCAAGACACAGAATGTTTCCGTCACGCCAAAATAGCTTCCTTGAACCCCTTCCCAGTGTAGGGGAGGGAAAATAGCTTCTACCCTTCCAAGTTTTCGGTTGGGGCCCCTGTAATAAAAGGTAGATTAACAAGAGAAAAACATGTAAACTTGTTTAATGTAAGTTTTACATGACATGGGAGCCTTCATAAGGAAATGAAGACCCGAAGAAACAGTAAAACCTGAGTGTTTTTAAGTTAGATTTGATGAAGAAGGAAGAGTTGTGGAATGTGATAGGACAGAAAGGGATATGAGCTAAGAGGAGTAAACTGGGAAAAACTTAACAAGGCCTGTTTGTTCAGATTCCTCTGGGTGTTCCTCTATTTCTATTTTTAAATTTTGAGACAGGGTCTCACTCTTTTCCCCAGGCTGGAGTGCAGTGGCTCATAGCTCACTGCGGCCTCATCCTCTTGGGCTCAAGTGATCCTCCTGCCACAGCCTCCTAAGCAGCGGGGACTACGGGTATGTGCCATTATGCATGGCTGAGTTTTTAAATTTTTTGTAGAGATGGGCTCTTACTGTGTTGCCCAAGCTGGCCTCAAACTCTGGGGCGCAAGTAATCCTCCTTCCTCGGCCTCCCAAAGTGCTGGGATTATAGGCATGAGTCACTGCACCTAGCCACTCTGTCTTTTGAGATTAAGATGCTGCTATCTTCTGGGTATAGAGAGGACACCTCTCACACAAGGATCCTATGATCTGCTTCAGGGGAAGTCCTTTCTGCACCTGCTGTTTCTCAGATTCCTTCAGCTTAAAATATGCAACATGCCAACATGTCATATTTTGAGAGTAGTATGTTCTGAAGCCTGTCATGGTCAACTCCCTATCACCCTGCCCCAGGTAAATTTATCTATAATTGTAGATTAGTTTTGTCAGTACTTGAACTTCATATGAATGGAATCATACAGTGCAGTTTGTGACTTTTTTGGGTCAGGTTTCTTTTTTCAACATACCATTTTTGAGATTTATCCTTGTTGTGTGTATCAGTAATTTTTCCTTTTCATTTCTGAATATTATATACCATTTGTTTATTCATCTGTTTCTAGACACTTGGGTTTTATAGTTTTGGGGTTTTTATAAATAAAAATGCTATAAACTTCCATGTACAGGCGTTTTTGTGAGCATATATTTTCATGAATACTGCGTAAGTATTTGTGAGTGGAAGTGCTGGGTCATATAGTAAGTGTATTTTTAACTTTATGAGAAACTACCAATTTTCCAAAGTGGTTGTGACATTTTACATTTCTCTTAGCAATGTACAATAGTTCCAGGCACTTACAGCCTCGACGCTTAGTATTGTCTGTTTTAAAATTTTAATTATCTTAATGGGTGTGTAGTGGCACCTCATTGTGGTTATAATTTGAATTTCACTGAGTGGAGTCTTGATAAAGAATGTTCTTGAGGTTTTCCTAAATTTTTCTACAGGATTATAGCCATATACAATTGAAATTCATCTTTTATATTTTTAAATTTTTCTTTAGGTATCTTTAAGAGTGATTGAAGGGAATAATTCAAAATGCCTGAAAATCCTGCTACAGGTATACTGGATATATTGTTCTATAATTTAATTAATTAATGATTTTAAAATGGAATCTCAGATGGGACTTAACTATTACTCTACTTATTCATCTTAACCCAAGATAAACTGCAGGTCCTGCAGGTACTTGATCGCCTGAAAATGAAATTGCAGGAGAAGGGTGACACATCACAGAATGAGAAGTTATCTGTGTTTTATGAGACACTAAAGAGTCCTCTCTTCAACCAGATACTCACACTTCAGCAGTCCATCAAGCAACTGAAAGGACAAGTAAGTTACCCATCAGTTTTACATTAATATATGTATTAATATATTCAAACCATCGAAGAAAGATAGAGGAGATAGACAAAGACAAATTATCTTTAAGGACTCAGTTCAGCAAAGAGGCTGTATTGGGACCTGTAATCTATAACCTGTGGGTAGCACTGGCATAGACAATTTAGAAATGTCGATAATCAATTTTTTCTTTCGCAGCTGGGCGTGGTGGGTGTACCAGTAGTCCCAGCAACTCAGGAATCTGAGGTGGGAGGATTGTGTGAGCCCAGGGGTTCCAGGTTGCAGTGAGCCATGGTCATGCCACTTCACTCCAGCCTGCATGACAGAGTTGAGACCCTGTCTCTCAAAAAAAAAAAAATTGTGTTTGGTTTTAGAATATGGTTTTTGTACTTATTTAAATATGTAAAGGTCAGATGCTTTGAGAATTCTCAACATCATCAAAATTATAAAATAGTGCTTAACTTAAATATATTTTCTTTTTATTTTGAGACAAGGTTTCTCTCTGTCACTGAGGCTGGAATGCAGTGCTGTGATCCTAGCTCATTGCAGCCTTGACCTCCCATGCTCAAGCAATGCTCCCACCTCAGCTTCCAGAGTAGCTGGGATAGGTGTGTGCCACCACAGTTGGGCTAATTTTAAAAAATTTTTATAGAGACAGGGTCTCCCTATGTTGCCCAGGCTGGTCTCATACTATTGGCCTCAAGCAGTCCTCCTACCTCAGTCTTCCAAAGTGCTGGGAATATGGGCATGAGCCACCTCGCCCAGGCGTATTTTCTTTGTGAAGTCTTTTTTTTTTTTTTTAAGTAGAGACAGGATTTCACCATGTTAGCCAGGTTGGTCTGTATCTCCTGACCTCGTGATCCGCCCACCTCAGCCTCCCAAAGTGCTGGGATTACCGGCGTGAGCCACCTCGCTTGGCCTGGCCTGAGCCAACTCGCCCTGCCGAAGTCTTTTATCTAACAAGAAGTGATCATGCCCTTATAGCACAATAGTCACGCTTCTCTTAATTATCAAATATTTATTGTCTTTCATGCATATTCTGATTAAAAGTTCCTTGGAAGCAGGATACCTGGTATTTAAATATATAATTGTGTTTCCTCTACTCATTTACCACACTATCTGGACTCTACAGGCTCTAATACATCATTATTGAGTAAGGGACACATATCACCTCTTCTTAGAGGGGTGCAAATTAGTAGTTGTGGGATTTTTTTGTTTGTTTTTTTGGCGCTGAGATCGAACCAGAAATTGTTTTAACTCTCTTCTTGGATTCTTTGTTTTGGGGTCAGAGTTGGCAAATTACTTTTAAATCACCTGTTCTGGAAGCTGAACTTGAATAGTAGCTATACTATAGATGACATTTGGGCAGAATTTAAAACATAATTGGATCTAATTTATCACAGTTAAGTGAAAATTTACAAAATTTGGGAAAAAATGGTTTTTGCTGATAAACTAAAATGCTTGCCCATTAAGTCTTTTGTGAGTGATTTGTTTATAGCCAATTAAGGATTAAACTCTACACGTGTGTCTTTCTGTGAATTGCTTTCTTTAGACCAGAATTTATACCCTAATTTTAGCACTGCCTATATTGATGTTTAGCTTTCTGTATTTCTCTTGGTCATAGAATATCACAATAGTGAATGCTGCTGGTAGCAACTGAAATTGGCAAAGATCAGCAGAAATCTATCACATTTGTTGGACTAAGAGTGGATGTAACTAACTACCCTATCCTAATAGCAATTCTTTATATTTGTATAGTTTGCAGTTGTTATATGCACAGTCATATTTTATGCATTGGACTGTGTAATCCCTGTAGCCAGGGTTTTTAAAAATTTTTTCTCTGAGGTTTTATTAACATCCCTTTTTTTTTTTGAGACAAGAGTCTTTGCCTGGGGTAGAGTACAGTGGTGTGATCATGGATCATTGTAGCCTCGACATCCTGGGCTCAAGCAATCCTCCCACTTCATCCTCCCAAGTAGCTGGGACTACAGGCATGTGACACCATGCCCAGCTAATTTTTGTATTTTTTGTTGAGACGAGGGTCTCACTATGTTGCCCAGGTCTTGAACTCCTGGCCTGAAGTGGTCCTCCCACCTTGATCTCCTCAAGGGCTGGAATTACAGGTGTGAGCCATCACACCTGGCCTAACATTTATTCTTTTTTTTTTTTTGGAGCCAAAGTCTTGCTCTATCATCCAGGCTGAGTGCAGCGGTGCAGTCTCGGCTCACAGTAGCCTCCACCCGTGGGGTTCAAGCGATTCTCCTGCCTCAGCCTCCCAAGTAACTTGGAATTGCAAGTGTGCATCACCATGCCCATTTAATTTTTGTATTTTTGATAGAGATGGGGTTTCACTACTGACATTTATTCTTAATGTTACCTTTATTCTACTGTTTTGGCAGTTGTATACCAATGATATTTTAAATTATGTCCACCATAATTACATGATTCTCCTCTTTCTACCAATGTTTAAGTGGCTCCACGAGTTACTTACTGCTAATCTTGAGTAAGTTACTTAGCCCTTGTGTGCCTTAGTTTTTATGCTCACAAAATGGGATAATGATATCTCATCAGACTGTTGTAAGAATTAAGTGATAATACCTGTAATCATCCCAGTACAGTACTTACTCATAGCAAGCACTCAATAAGTACAGTTATTATTATCGTTATGTACTACCTGTGGATCTTTTGTGGTTCCCCACATGGAAATGTATAGATAAATGGAAAAAGGTTTAGTACCTTACACTGTTATATGACTGGATGCATCTGTATATGTGAAGTGTAATAAGATGTCAGTGTACAAAGTAGTGGTAGAAAGCAGGAAATAAGAACAAATTTTAAACTATTAAACATTTTGTGTAATACTAAATTTAAAAAATTTCTAGCCTTATGAATACACAGATTTATCTATCTTTACCTTATTTCTTTCCCATGTATATATTTAATGTGCAAATTATACATGTAATGGTCAAAATATATTTAATAACTAGAAACAGTTTTTCTATAGATTTCTGTTGATGATTCTTTTTTCTCTCCAACAGCTCAACCATATACCCTCAGATTGTTCAGCCCACTTTGATTTTTCTAGGAAAGGTTTGTTAGTGTTCACAGATGGTTCCATTGCTAATGGAAATGTCCACAGGCCCTCTAATAACTCCACTGTATCTGGGCTATTTCCTTGGACCCCGAAGTTGGGAAATGAAGACTTTAACTCAGTCATTCAACAGATGGCTCAGGTAAAGTTGTATCTTCTCATGGAAATATTTAGCTTCATTTCTCCTGTTTTAGTTTTACAAAGGAACTTATACTCATTATTTTTGCTGTAAGATGTGTTAGTATGTATTTTGCTTGCTTGCATTTTTATATTGTTAGGAGGAATTGACACCATTTTCTAACCTGTGTGTTGAAAATTTATTGGCTTAAAATTACATAAGGAAGGTATCCATGTGTGGTAAGGAGAGTTTTTTAAAAAAAAAAAATTAACATTTATTTTTTTGAGATAAGATCTTGCTAAGGAGAGTTTTTCGACAATGACTAATTGAATGCATCTCTATTCTTGTTAAAATAAGATTTTTGGCCAGGCGCACCGGCTCCCACCTGTAATCGCATCATTTTGGGAGGCTGAGGCGGGCGGATCACTGGAGGTCAGGAGTTTGAGACCAGCCTGGTCAACATGGCAAAACTCTGTCTCTACTAAAAATAGAAAAATTAGCTGGGCATGGTGGTGGGCAACTGTAATCCCAGATACTCAGGAGGCTGAGGCAGGAGAATTGCTTGAACCCGGGAGATGGAGGTTGCAGTGAGCTGAGATTACGCCACCTTACTCCAGCCTGGGTGACAGAGCAAGACTCTGTCTCAAAAAACAACAACAAAAAAGAAAAACCCATGATTAATGAAAATTAGAACTAATATAATTTGGAAAATCTAGAAAACATTTGGAAGGGTAATCCAGTTGTAGCCCCTAATACCTATTAAAAATTAAATAAACAATTAAAATTTTGGACATGTTAGTTTTATGTATGTTCGCCTCGACCTTCAAGTGCCATTAAAAATGAAACGAGGTTTGAGCGTGGTGGCTTTTTTCTGTAATCTTTGGGAGGCAGAGGCAGGAGGATTGCTTGAAGCCAGGAGTTCAAGACCAGGCTGGGTAACATAGAGAGACCCCCATCTCTACAAAAATAAAAATAAGAATATAGTCAGACATGGTGGCACTCACCTGTAGCTCCAGGTACCTGGAAGGCTGACGTGGGTGGATCACTTGAGCCCAGAAATTCAAAGCTATAGTGAGGTATGATCGCACGACCGAACTCCAGCCTGGGCGACAGAGCCAAGACCTATCTCTTAAAAAATAAATAAATAAATAAACTTGAGTTTCAGTGTTAAATAGAATCTGTTCAAGATGTGATAATTAAATAATATTCTGGTCCTAGTTTTTGACTTTATAGATCTATCCCTTTCTTTTTTTCTGCGCTGTTGCCCAGGCTGGAGTGCAGTGGCGCAATCTTGGCTCATTGCAACCTCTGCCTCCCAGGTTCAAGCAATTCTCCTGCCTCAGCCTCCTGAGTAGCTGGGACTACAGGTGCATGTCACCACGCCTGGCTAATTTTTGTATTTTTAGTAGAGACAGGGTTTCACCATGTTGGCCAGGGTAGTCTCGATCTCCTGACCTCGTGATCCTCCCACCTCAACCTCCCGAACTGCTGGGATTACAGGCATGAGCCATCATGCCTGGCCACTTCTATCCGTTTCATCTAGCAATTATTTTTATGTGGTGCTGTTTTTAGTTGATTACATTTATGAAGTTCTCATGTTATAAGTGCAGTTATTAACTAAAGCAATAAAATACCTGGCTGTCACAAGAACAGTTCTATCTGTTCTTACAGGTAGAACCCATGTAAATGGTGGCCTTTTCAGAGTCTTTTGAATTTACCTAATAAATAGAATATCAATTAATCAACGATAGAATTAAAAACAGAGCCCTGTAAAATGCAGCTGGTTCTGACTTCGGCTAAATACTGGCATTTTTGATATATCTAATTTATTTTCCTCATTTAAAAATATATTTTGCAACTGGGCACTGTGGCTCACATTTGTAATCCCAGCAATTTGGGAGGCTGAGGCGGGTGGATTGCTTGAGCTCAGGAGTTTGAGACCAGACTGGGCAACATGGCGAAACCCCGTCTCTACAAAAAATACAAAAATTTGCCAGGCATGGTGGTGCATGCCTATAGTCCCAGCTACCCAGGAGGCTGAGGCAGGAGGATCGCTTGAGCCCAGAAGACAGAGGTTGAAGTGAGCTGAGATCATGCCACTTCACTCCAGCCTGGGCGACAGAGCGAGACCCTGTCTCAAAGAAAAAAATAAAATAAAAATGTACTTTGCATCAAGAGAATTTAGGGAAGTTCAGTGTAAAAAAGTAATTCAGAATTTACTATGGGAAAAGGCATTTTTCTCAGGAGTTTCCATCCAGCTTGGGATTCATCTCATAATGTGAATGAAGTGTGAAAATACCTCTGATTCCCTGAGGTTGCAGAACACTGCACACACTCTCTCTTATGCTCTACTGAAATAATCAAGTGAGAGGATTTCCAGAAATAATTTATTACTGAAATGCTGAGTTTATGTGGTTCTTAGGGGAAGCTGCTTTTATGCTAAGCAATTTCAGTTCTGCAGACAGAGTATGTTGGTTAAATATACACCACTGACTTTTTTTTTTTTTAACGCTCCTTCATTAGGGCCGGCAAATTGAATATATAGATATAGAACGGCCTTCATCTGGAGGCCTTGGATTCAGTGTGGTGGCCCTCAGAAGTCAAAATATGGGAAATGTTGATATCTTCGTGAAGGATGTCCAGCCAGGGAGTGTAGCAGACAGGTGGGGAAGCTGTTTATTTTCACTTTGCTAATTGTTTCCTGATAATTCTGACGACTATTATAAAGAGAGTGAAAAACTAGTCATAAAAACAGTAACAACAGCAGCTAACACTTGCTTTAGTTTTTGCTGTGCATTGTCAGGCCTTTCGTGAATATCCTCCTGTACCCCATGGCAGCAGTTCCACTATATAGGTATCATCATTCCGTTCTATTGATGAGAAAGCTGAGATTCAGGGATTCAGTGGTCAACCTATAGTCACAGAGCTGTTAATGCTGAAGCCATGATGTGATTCCAAGACCGTCTGACTGCAAAGCTAGTACACTATTTCCCTCTCTTACAGTTGAACATGATATTTTAGCTACGGACTGATCAGTAGGATAGGAATATTGAAGTTCTCATTCTGCATATTATATTGTTTATTATTCTTAAGATTATAACAACATTTTGGTGGTCATGTCACTCTACCTGATTTATTATGCTTATTGTCAATTAAGAGGCCTCTCAAGTCTATGTTATCTTCCATGTTGTATTTGCTTTTATGTTTTAAGGGGTATTTGCAAGCCTTTTATTTTGTCTCTGTTTGATTTCCAGTCTTTGGTTTATTATTCATTTAATAAGTCTGCTATTCCAATGCATGTGTTAGAATAATAGCAACAGTGGCAGTATATTATTATAAAATTCTTAGTCGATAATACATTTTTGAATTCACATTCTCCATTCATGGGGGATTAATTCTAGTGTCCCCAACTCAGATTTCAAACTTAATAAGTTGCCATGACTTTGCATCTTTATTCTGACATCTAATGCAGCATTTCTTCAAGAATTGTGGTGAGAATGGGTAAACAGGAAGAGGAAGAATATCAGTGGTGTTTGGGAGATAATAAAATCAAATACCGTAAACCAGGACAGAGTAAGTCCTAGGCTATCTTTAGGATGCACTTTGGCATAAGAAGTTCAAGACTGTGCTTCAGAATCTGACTCTTGATAGGATGCTAGGCTTATCTAGACTTCAATTCCTTAATATGTAAAATTTACTAAGTACTTTAAAAGGAAATTGTGAGGATTATGTGAGATAATGCATGTAAAGCACTCAACATAGTACCTGACTCATGATAAGTGCTCAGTAAATACTATTTTTCTTTAGAGATTTTGCTAATTTCTTTTAAAAAGAATCTTCTTACCCTGGTTAGCAGTTGGGAGATTGGTGCTTGGGAGAGATTATAAGGGCTCAGATTGGCCGAGCTCAGTGGCTCATGGCTGTAACCCCAGCACTTTGGGAGTTCAAGAGAAGCCTGGGCAACATGGCAAAACCCCATCTCTACAAAAAATACAAAAATTAGCTGGGTGTGGTAGTATACACCTGTAGTCTCAGCTACTTGTGAGACTGAGGTGGGAGAATCACCCGAGCCTGGGAGACTGAGGCTGCAGTGAGCTGTGATTGTGCCACTGCACTCCAGCCTGGGCAAATAAGAGTGAGACCATGCTCAGATATAAATTTGGAAGTAATCTCTATGAATTTTCAAGGAGGGTTTGGCCTCTGTTGATAAATGTTGGACAAGTAGACAGTGAAGATGGGGTGAGAGGAGGTTATTGGTGTAGTTGAAAATATCGTTACCCCAGTGTGGTATGGGTAGAGATCAGATTGGAAGGGGTTCAGGAGGTTTGGGTTTATGCAGTAATGGAGGCAGTGTCCATACTTGCAAAACCTTGGCGATGGGGTCCTATAGATTGTTTTTGTTTATTTTTCTAGGCAGATGGCTTTTAAAATGTGTCCATGTGTTTAAGGATGTACTACCAAATTAGGTAATTAGTTAATAACTTCTGTGAAAAACACTCTGAGGAGCTCTGTTATATAATTAACTAATTATTTGATAAATGTCCTAAGTGAAGTAGTACCATAGGCAACAAACTGCTTAACTTGAATAATAGATTTTTTAAAATCAGGTTATTAGGTCACTTAAAACAAAAATTTCTTTTCTTACATGATTAAGGGATCAAAGATTAAAGGAAAATGATCAAATATTGGCCGTTAATCACACACCATTGGATCAGAACGTTTCCCATCAGCAAGCAATTGCATTATTACAACAAACCACTGGATCTTTGCAACTGATTGTGGCCAGGGAACCAATCCACACAAAAAGCAGTACTTCTAGCAGCCTAACTGATACAACTCTGCCTGAAACAGTGAGTTGCAAATTTGAAAAAATACCTAATTTTGAATAATGCCATTGATTGTAAGAAGTGTAAAGACATTTAGAAGGTGTCGTTTTACTTTTCTTTTCTTTTCTTTTTTTTTTTTGAGATGGAGTTTCGCTCTAGTTGCCCAGGCTATATAGTGCAGTGGCCAGATGTTGGCTCACTGCAACCTCCGCCTCCTGGATTCAAGTGATTCTCCTGCCTCAGCCTCCCAAGTAGCTGAGACTACAGGTGCTCAGCATCACTCTCTGTTATTTTTTTTTTTTTTTTTTTTTTTTTTTTTTGAGATAGAGATGGGGTTTCATCATGTTGGCCAGGCTGGTCTTGAACTCCTGCCCTCAGGTGATCCACCTGCCTCGGACTCTCAAAGTGCTAGGATTACAGGCGTGAGCCACTGTGCCTGGCCCATTTTACTTTTCATAGTTAAAAAAGATGATCGTATCTCTGAGTGCAGCATTAACATGTTTAAACAAGAAGTTTCATGAATGTTTTTTTTTTCTCTTTTCAATGTCCTGTGGGTCTCTTTGTTTAAGATTATTATTTAATATGGAGGCCAAATTGAAGTATTAGGTGTAATTTATTTAGTGATGGAGAGTCTTGTGTTCCTTGGTGATGTAGCCAATTAATTGAGAGTTTTTATTAGAGATTTACTGTTGAGTGTTTAAAGTAAGATTTGATTATTTATTTGAAAAATATTATTTTTGAAAATTATGAGGGGATTTATGACCAGATTATTGATATTGCAAAATTATAGCAGGCTTTTTTTCATGTAAAGACACATATGGAACAATTTTAAAGAATAAAAGTATATGTCTCTTTTGGGAACCCTTGAATGTGCTTTTTAACATTTTACAGATTTTGGCTTGCATTGTCAGAATGCAAACTAATAAATCTTATTTTCTTATAACACTAAGTGCTAGCTGACTTATTTAATTTTTATTCATTGGGACAAAAGAAAAAATAAGACTGTCTTGGTACAATACAAGGTCACAACAAAAATTAATGTATAGGCATTTTCCCTATTGTAATCAGCAATATTTGTACAGCAGAATTTACATAATAAATACAGTGAATAATGTGGGGAATTGTTTAACGTATAAAGAACAAGAGCTTTGGAGTTAGGCTTGGATGCATTCAAGTCCATTTCTCCCAAATCCTAGTGGTGTCACACCAGGCAGATTCCTTTACCTCATACCTTCCTTTGAAGGTATGATGTCTAGTTCTCAGAGATGTTGTGAGGCTGAATGAGAAGGCATGTGAGGCACCATGCCTGGTGCTGCATACATGTTCTGTGAATATTGGCTGCTATCAGCTAACATTAAGTCAGGCATATTATTTTAGCAAACTTTCTTGTTTCCCACATAGTAGATGTTCTAGACATCAATTTATTAATCTCAATATTGCCTTTTTTTTTTTTTTGAGATGGATTCTTGCTTTGTCACCCAAGCTGGAGTGCAGTGGCGTGATCTTGGCTCACTGCAACCTCTGCCTCCCCGATTCAAGTGATTCTCCTGCCTCAGCTTCCTAAGTAGCTGGGGATTACAGGCACATGCCAACATACCCAGCTAACTTTTTCATACTTTTAGTAGAGATGGGGTCTCACCATGTTGGCCAGGCTTGTCTCAAACTCCTGACCTCGTGATCCGCCCACCTTGGCTTTCCAAAGTGCTAGGATTACAGGCTTTAGTCACTGCACCCAGCCCTCCAATAATGTTTTTTATTTAAGACTGCATAGTAACTTTGCAATTTAGTATAATAGAAAAACTGGATGGGTATGATGGTTCACACCTGTAATCCCAGAACTCTGGGAGGCCTAGGCAGGAGGGTCGCTTGAGACCAGGAGTTTGAGACCAGCCTGAGGAACATAGTCAAACCCCACCACCATGGCCAGGCACAGTGACTCATGCCTGTAATCCCAGCACTTTGGGAGGCCAAGGTGGGTGGATCGCCTGAGGTCAGGAGTTTGAGACCAGCCTGGTCCACATGGTGAAACCCTGTCTCTACTAAAAATATAAAAATTAGCCGAGTGTGGTGGCACATGCTTGTAATCCCAGCTAGTCGGGAGGCTGAGGCAGGAGAATTGCTTGAACCTGGCAGGTGGAGGTTGCAGTGAGCTGAAATTATGCCACTGCACTCCTGCCTGGGTGACAGAGTAAGGCTCTGTCTCAAAAAAACAAAAAACAAAGACATCCCACCTCGACAAAAGATTAAAAAATTAGCTGGGCATGGTGGTACATGCCTGTAGTCCCAGCTATTTGGGAGGCTGAGGTTAGAGGATGGATGATCCCAGGAGTTTGAGGCTGACATGAGCTCTCATCATGCATTGCACTCTAACCTGGGTAACAGAGTGAGACCTTGTCTCTAACAGAAAGAAAGAGAGAAAGAGAGAAAGAGAAGAAAGAAAGAAAGAGAGAGAGAGAGAGAGAAAGAGAGAGAGAGAGAAAGAAAGAAAGAAAGACAGACTAAGTAATGAGTATGCCCTAATGATCTTGAGAGGGAAGATATTGTTCTGCAGTTGGATTATGTGAAGTAATGCCCATTTCTTATAGAAACCTGCTAGTTAGAGGGGAAATGCTTATGTCTCTTAGTCTAATTTGTATAGTCCTATTGCTAATATCTTCAGTGGGGCCTACCTTTCCTCTCCCTCATAAGAGTCTCCTAAATTAGTCTCTCCACTTTGTGTCCTACCACCATTTTAGATTCTTCTCATTGCTGCCAGATGAATTTTCTTAAACCACTTCTTTGGTTCTGTCATTTCTCTTCTAAAACCTTTAACTACTTCCACTTGATTACCCAGTTAAATCCAACCTTTTGACCATATCTTTCATCCATTGTGTTATCTGGCCTAGCTTTGCCCTTATATTTTCTTTTTGCTTGAATGTCTTCCTTTGTAGTGCAACTTAAATGCCCCTTTTCCTTGAAGTTTTCTGTAATTCTTCATTGGTTTTGACTTCATGTTCTTCCTTCCCTGTAAAAAGTCTTTATAATATTTTGTGATTCTCTTTCAAGCAGACACGTATTTACTGGTCCCTACTATGTGCTGGGCACTGTGCTGGATATCCAGTGTAGAGTGAGGAGTGAGAAATGTTTCCTGTGCTCTTAGGGCTAGTGCCTTATGATCCAATATTATGCCTTGCATTTTAATTATTTATGTTTTACTTTCTCTCTACTGGATTATAAGATCCCTACGGTCAGGGACCATATGATTATCTCTGTCTGTATGTCTTAGCCTGTAGAACATTGCCTTGATTAATTGTATGAATGTTCAATTTGTTGCAATGTTACTTTGGTAATGATTGTATTGGAAAACTAAGAATCTGTGAGTATTACTGATCCTGTGACTCTTATGTGCCATTAATTTGTAGGTTTGCTGGGGCCATGTTGAAGAGGTTGAGCTCATTAATGATGGCTCCGGACTAGGTTTTGGTATAGTTGGAGGAAAAACAAGTGGCGTGGTTGTGAGGACTATAGTTCCTGGAGGATTAGCAGATCGAGTAAGTCAACCTTCCTTGTTATCATTTTGGTTTTATAAAATTTAAGTTGTATGAATTGAAATGTAATTTTATAACATGAGTTACCAGGATATATGACTTAATAACTAGAATTTAAGTATAGCTTAAAAATGGTTTATTCTGTAAGTATTATTTGTATACATGCTGTCTTATTTTAAACAGTTCCTAAATCAACATTTTTGGGGTTTGTTTTGCTTATAATTGACACGCTTCATGATTCCATCAGGGGACAATTTTTTTTTTTAATTGAAAAGCGTTGTTAATGAATATTGCATTTTGAACATCTGTATTATTCTCCTCTAGTGTGTCTTTCAATGGCCTAAATGTTAAAATCAGAAGATACAGCGATTATAAACATTTGTCCCAATATCATACATGGTAAATTTCACTTGAATTAAAATTTATGGCCTTATAAGTTAAATGACTACCTTTCATTGTTTAGCAGTGTTTACACTGAAAGTAGGCTATTAAAAAAATTAGCAACTGTTTCTGCTTAATTTTATATTGAAGAAATGTTAATTACTACTTTAGTTTTTAGAAATTAGTTTAGAAATTTGACTCTGAAGCCACTTAATAATAAGCCCATATTATATAGAATAGCCATGATAAATCAGAAATAACTTTAGTTATTCCCATAATCAGAATGATATGTAAAATTTCACTGATTATTGCCCAGTTACATATAAATTTATCCCTTCTAATAGACATACATAAGTAAAAATGAGCTTGCCATGCAAATGCATCTTCAAGGCAAGTTCCTTGGCTCTTCATTTCTGATCATGATTGCTTCACCTTATGCAGCTTGTGGAGCCATTGATGTTCCTCTCATCATTTCAGCACCTAAGAGTATTTATTTAGAACAGCAGTTGTCAAAGTTTGGTTGTGGGCCTCTGGAGGGCTCTGAGAGCCTTGCAGGTGGTCTATGAGATCCAAACAACTTTTACAATAATACCACGACGTTATTATCCCTTTCACCCTGTTAACATTTGTACTGATGATACAAAAGCAGCTGCAGGCTAAAACTGCTGGTGCCTTGGTGCAAAACAAGGCAGTGGCCACAAACTATTATAGTAATCATTGCATTCTCTTCTGCCATGTGCTTGCAACAAAAAAGAAAAAAATGCCGTTTCAATTGAAGTTTTTTTATGATGCAGTAAAATGATTAATTTTAGTAAATTTTGACCATTTAGTGCATGTCTTTTGAATATTGTCAAAATGGGAAGTATCATGTAGCATTCTTGCTATGTACTGAAGTATGATGGTTGTCTTAAGGCAAGTCATTTGCAAGGTGAATCTACTACTTTTTTATGTGGAACAGCATTTTTATTTTTATAAAAATAACTGCAGAAAAATTATGTTTATCCAGACTTGGGTATTTGGAAGATGTTTTCTTGAGAATGGATGATGTGAACTTGTTATTTCAAGGAAAACAACTGACACTGTTTGTTAGCAACAATAGAATTTGAGCTTAAGCAAAAATTAGAATTTTGGAAAATTTGTATTTTACCATGAGCTTGACATTTCCCTAATATTTAAAAGCTTTCTAAGGCTGGGCGTGGTGGCTCATGCCTGTAATCCCAGCACTTTGGGAGGCCGAGGTGGGAGGATCTCTTGAGCCCAGGAGTTCAATACCAGCCTTGGCAATGTGGCAAAACCCTGTCTGTACAAAAGACACAAAAGTTAGCTGGGCATGGTGCTACTTGGGAGGCTGAGGAGGTGGAGGCTGCTTTGAGCTGAGATTGTGGCACCGAACTCCATCTGGCCTGGGCGACAGAGTATGACCCTGTCTGAAGAAAAAAAATAAAAAAAGAAAGGAAAAGTAAAGAAAGGCATTTCTGATTAGATTGTTGATTGATATCAAGATGATTGTCTTGATATTTATTATATGATGAAATATGTCAGTACTTGGAAGGTCTGCATAACTGTGAATCGATATTTTCTTTTCTTCTCCTCTTTTTTTTTTTTTTTTTTTGAGTAGAGTCTTGCTCTGTTGCCTAGGCTAGAGTGCAGTGGCATGATCCTCTTACTACAGCCTCGACCTCCCAGGCTCAAGCAGTCCTTCTACCTCAGTCTCCCGAGTAGCTGGTGTTACAGGCGTGTACCACCAAGCTAGGCTAATTTATTTTTATTTTTATTTTTTTGAGACAGGATCTCACTCTGTCACCCAGGCTGGACTGCAGTGGTGCGATCTCGGCTGACTGCAGCCTCCCTCTGGGGCTCAAGTGATCCCCCACCTCAGCTTCTGGAGTAGCTGGGACTATAGACACAGGCCACCATGCCTGGCTAATTTTTGTGTTTTTTTGTAGAGATGGGGTTTCACTATGTTGCCCAGGCTGATTTCGAATTCCTGAGCTCAAGCAATCTTCCCGCCTTGTCCTCCCAAAGTGCTGGAATTACAGGTGTGAGCCATTGCACCTGCCTGGCCTTAGTTTTATTTTTTGTAGAGACAGTCTCGCTTTGTTTCCCGGGCTGGTCTTGAACTCCTGGCCTGAAGTGATCCTCCCGCTTAGGCCTTCCAAAGTGCTGGGATTGTAGGTGTGAGCCACCATATTCAGCCTCAATATTTTGTGAAGACCAGTATGTGATATGACAAAATAATATGTAGCTAAATGATCCTCTTGAAAATCAAGATAGATCAATCGATTTCAATAGTGTCTGAAAGTTTGTTGATATGGTTCCAGATTCTACATTGTAACTGTATAAGAAACCACCACTTGCCAAGTTTTGGTGTGTTATCAAAGAATAGGCTGAAAGGACTATTATAATACCCCTCCCCTTTCCAACTATATATCTGATTGAGGCCAGATATTCTTCATATACTTCATCCAAAACAGTATATTGTAACACATTGAATGCAGAAACAAATGAGTCTAGCTGTTTTCTTTTAAGCCAGATATTAAAGAGATTTGTAAAAATATTAAACAGTCCCACTCATATATATATATATATTTATGTATGTAAGATTTGATGACTTGCTAGGAGGATTCACAGAACTCAGCATACAGTTGTACCCATAGCTATATTTATTACAGTGAAGAATACAAAGCAAAATCAACATGGAAAAGGTTACATAAGGTGGAGACTGGAGGAAATCAAGCACAAGCTTCCATGAGTCCTCTCCCTGTGGAGTCATATAGGACACACTTACATATATATATATAGGTAAGAGTGGGACTGTTTAATATTTTTAATTTAATATATAATATATACTATATAATTTAATATATAATAAATATATATATTTAATATATATATATATTTTTGAGATGGAGTCTTGCTCTGTTGCCCAGGCTAGAGTGCAGTGGTGCAATCTTGGCTCACCAGAACCTCTGCCTCCCAGGTTCAAGTGATTCTCCTACCTCAGGCTCCCGAGTAGCTGGAACTACAGGCATGTGCCACCATGCCTGGCTAATTTTTGCATTTTTAGTAGAGGTGGGGTTTCACTATGTTGGCCAGGCTGGTCTCGAACTCCTGACCTCGTGATCCACCCGCCTCAGCCTCCCAAAGTGCTAAGATTACCGGTGTGAGCCACCACGCCTGGCCAATATTTTTTGTTTTGGAAAATATAGCTCTTTTAAAAATATATATACAATATAATAAATATTGATAAAAATTAACATTAAATATTATATATTAAAAAATTCCTCAGTACCAATTTTTGCATGTGTATATGTTTGTGAATTCATCTTTACCAGATTTCTCCAGAGAAACAGAACCAATAGGATATGTGTGTGATTATTTTAAAAAAGAGATTATTTTTAAAAATTGGCTCATGCCATGGTGGGGGCTGGCAAGTCCAAAATTTGTAGGGAAGGCAAGGAGGCTGGAAACCCAGACAAGAGTTGATGTTGTAGTCTTGTGTTTGACATCTATAGGGCAGGCCATCAGAATGTCTCAGGAAGCTCTGTTACATTCTTGAGGCAGAATTTCTTCTCTAGGAAATCTCAGTTTTTGTTTGTGAATTCTTCAACTGATTGTATGAGGCTCACCTACATCATTGAGGGTAATCTTCCTTTACTTAAAGTCAATTGTTTGTATATGCTAATCACATTTACAAAGTACCTTTGCAGCAATGTCTAGATTAGTGATTGACCAAAACAGTCAGCACCACAGCCCAGCCAAGATGACACATATAATTTAACTTATCCATTACCACAATCAAGGTAATGAGCGTATTCATTACTCCCAGCCGATTCCTGTACTGCTTTGTAATTCCTATCGCTCCATCCTTAATAATTTTTAAGAGTCTAAAGGAGTTCTGTCTTTATCCATTTAGTGTTGCTATAAGGAAATATCTGAGGATAGGTAATTTAAAATAAAAGAGGTTTATTTAGCTTATAGTTCTGCTGGCTGGAAAATTGGGCATCTGGGGAAAGCCTCAGGCTGCTTCCATGGTGGAAGATGGAGAGCCGGTGTGTGCAGAGATCACGTGGGCAGCGAGGAAGCTGGGGCGGAGAGGCGGAGGAGGTGGGGCAACTCTCTTTTTAACAATCAGAGTGAGAATTCACTGCACTAAGTAAACTCATAGCAGAGAACTCAGAGCAAGAACTCACTGCACCAAGCCATTCATGAGGGATTCACTCCCATGACCCAAACACCTCCCATTGGGCCTCACCTCTAACAGTGGGGATGCGATTTCAATGTGAGGTTTGAGGGGACAAACATCCAAACTGTAGCAAGTTCTGAGACCAGAATGTTTGAGAATGTTCATTTTATAGACGTTTAAAACACATCTGTGGCTGGATGCGGTGGCTCATGCCTGTAATCCCAACACTTTGGGAGGCTGAGCCGGGCGGATCACTTGAGGTCAGGAGTTTGGGACCAGCCTGGCCAACGTGTTGAAACACTGTCTCTACTAAAAATACAAAAAATTAACCCGGTGTGGAGGTGCATGCCTGTAATCCCAGCTACTCAGGAGGCTGAGGCACGAGAATTGCTTGAACCTTGGAGGCAGAGGTTGCAGTGAGCCAAGATCACGCCAC